GGCTAGTGGGTTCTTGTTTCTTCAAGCCTTTAAATAACATTGTGATGTGGGAATGAGAGGTGGACGGACATGGGAAGCCGGTGACTATTCTTGAAGAAGAAATTGATGCCTGCTAAGTAGGTCTGGATGGTAGAGGAGCGGATTTTCTCAATGGAATGCGCAAAGGTGATGAAATTGCAGATGTAAATGGCAGCAGATATGTGGCGTAAAATGCCTTGAAGGGATTCCAGCCAGTCAAGTAGGCTGAGAGAGTGCTAGGGGCGAGGTTGTTAATGATGGCTTCTTGTGAGGTGTAAGAGAGGTTTCTCAGCTGAGGATTTAGTTTAATGTTGTGGTTGAAAACGGTGGCACTGGTGTGGGATGACAGTCCGATTCTGGAGCCAAGTGTCTGAATTTCTGTAAAGAGAAACGAGACAATGAATCGGCGATGCTGTTTTGGTGGCCGGGAACATGAGCTGCCCTGAGGATGAACTGATGTTGGGCGGATATTAGTGTGAGTCTGTGATGGAACTGACCGGAGAACGAGATCGACCTTTGTTTAAGATTTCAACTACTGCTGTGTTGTCGGAATGAATGAGAACGGACTTCCTTGACCATTCGTGCTCCCAAAGAATGGCGGCGATGACGATGGGATATAGTTTGTGGAGCGCCAATGAAGGAGAGCCGGACTTGGTGCTTAAATGTCTGAATTCTGAGGGCCAAGTGGAGGCACTTGAGGCGAACCTCCTCCCCGCCGAAACCTACAGAAGGCGCTGCGTCAGTGTACAGCTGAATGTCCTCAGGCTGGGTGATGAAGTCTTCATAGAAGAAGGAAATGCAGTTCCAGGGAACCAGGAAATGTAGTCACAGACGCATTTCCATTTTGGAGAGAGAGAGGGGATGGCTGCGGCTGAGGTTAAGAGATTGGACAAGAAGGATTTTGCCTGCGGAATTATGCGAATGGCATAATTGAGATGGCCGAGGAGGGCTAGTAGCTGACGTTTGGTGCATCTGACTGCTAGAAGAAACTTTGAGAGAAGTAGAGAGATGCGCTGTATTTTCTTTGCGGGCAGCGATGCCTGAAAGGAGGTTGAGTCCAGGGTGATCCCTAAGAACTCGATGGAGGTGCTAGGCCCTGAGGTTTTCTCTTTGGAGAGGGGGATGCCTAGTTCATGAAAAGCTTTGATGAGAGTATCAAGCCCTGCACGAAGGGGTGACGATGGTGGAGTGACAACGAGGAAATCGTCAAGGAGTTGGAGTATGTAAGGAAGTCTGTAGTTGTTAGTCAAGATCCAGCACAGGGCTTCAGACAGGGAGTCAAAGATCTTGGGACTGCTTGAAGCCGAAGGCAAGACGCACGGAAAAGTAATAGGCTCCTTTCCAGCAAACCCCGAAAAAACGCCAGAAATCTGGGTGTATGGGCAAGACTTTGAATGCGCTGGTAATATCTGCCCTTTGATCTGCTATGCGGATGAGGGTGATGGCATGATTAATGGAGAAATCCGGGCTGGGGAACTTCCGGGTGGCAACGCCTAGAGAACTGATTCGGAACGCTGAAAAAGGAGACTTGTCGAATGGGCCTATCATGGAACCCTTTTTGACTTCTTTAGCTATTAAAGAGTCGACTATGTGGGGTTTTGAGAGAGCAGACTGCGGCAGGTGTGCGTAGAGTCTGGGAGGACTACTATACCTGGATGGAAACCGTGTGTGAATTCGTTTATGAGAAAATTAACGAACAGTCTATCTGGGTGATTTTGTAAATCAGTGGCGAGGCTGTTGACCTTGACTGGTGTGCCGTCAGGAGTGGTCAGATTATGAGGGCAGGTGCTCCTGGTGTGAGCTCCTTTGCAATAGGAGCAGACGTGCATGAGTCAGCAGTTGGACATTGAGCAGCCGAGGTGAGGCCTGAGAGCCGCGGGAAGACGGGGATATTTCGTCGGAGAAGCGAGGATCCTGGCGATGCCGTGGTATGCTCACCTCGGATCGCAAACGACTCCCCCGAGACACTTGGCTGATGTCTGACTGCTGTGGTGTAGGTGGGATGTAGTCGATTTGGAAAAGCTCGTCGTAAAGGTCGTGACTCGGGTGAGTTGATTTCTAGTTCGGGGTCCATGATTTTGACCGTTGTCTCTCTTGCATCGAGCAAACGGAGACAGAGGAGGCCGGTTGAATAGCCCGGGTGTAGATATACTTGTCAGCTGATTAGGTGTGGTTTTAGGCGTGGCCCTGGTCCTGAACCTAAGTTAACTACATTTTGGATAAAAGCATCAGTTAAATGAATAAAAGATCTTTTTATATTTTTACAAACAAAATTTGTTAAAATTGTCACTTCCAGGAAAGCTTTTAGTGCAACTCCTTGCAAGTTTTTTTTTGTCATCTCCTGTCTACAGCAATTACGTTGTAGCTGATGGATTGTCAACAACTTTAATATCAATTTTGACAAATGCAATTATGATAAATAATGATGAATAATAACCACAAAGGATTACAAAAGTACTGTGGTGGCAACTTTAAAAACTTCTTTTGTCACAATTGCATGACATAAAGTTTCTGACTCATGCTTTCCAAAAGAGCAAAATTGTATAATCCAGTGAGGCAAGGAGGCAGACAGAAGAAACAATATCATTTTTTATCATTTTATTTGACCAAAAAAAAGACAAAATAAACGTCTCCAGGCAGAGTCCTAAATCCTATGTGTTCTATCAAACTTACTTACACATAGGTAACAACTTTCCTATTGGTATGTGCGACGCGACGGTCAGAAAACTGTTGCTCTATGTCGGGATGAAGGGGTCGAGGAGAGAGGGATGAAAAGGTCGTGAGAAGAGGGATGAAGGGGTCCAGGGGAGAGGGATGAAGGGGTCATGAGAAAAGGGGAAGAAGGGGTACAGGGGAGAGGAATGAAGGGGTCATGAAAAGAGGGATGAAGGGGTCAAGGGGAGAGGGATGAAGGGGTTGAGGGGAGAGGGGATGAAGGGGTCGAGGGGGGGAGATGAGTCTATGCCGTAGTAAGTCCTGGTGGTGATGCTGATGGCTGGTGCGTTGGATTGGGAAAGGGGAGGAAGGCGTTGTTTATTCCGTATGTATATATTTATACATGTATTTGTCTACATGTAGCACCTTATCGCCAATGCAATCCTCGTATGTGTAAAACACTACTTGGCACTACGGCCCTGGGTGCCCCGATAGGTGCCTTGATTAAATTGCTGGAGGTGGAAGGCGGCATGCAGCCTGGGAAGCAAAAGGACGTATTATGTGAAACTGATGCCACTGAATCGCGGAGCCAATCCAATGATGGAGAGAGTCATCCTACACGGCCCTGCAATTGGGGAAGACTGAACGCGTTGTATCGCATTGACAGCGAAGGTAAGCTACAAGTATGAGCTCCCTTCGGAGGTGAGGGATGTGTAGGTTGGATTGTGCCATAGGGTGTAAGAATCTCCACCGGGAATGTTATATTGAGTTAATGGATGGCTGGGAGAGCAGCGCGAGGTTGCAATACTTGCTGACAGAATTTGTGCCTGGGGAAGGTGAAGCGGGGAGGGCTGCAAGGTTGAAAGTGGGTGGACGGGGGAATGGTGCAGTTAAGGTGAATTGCAGGTGGTTGCAAGACCGACGATGCGTTATGGCGGTGGGTGTCATCGTGACGTCATCGTCGTGTCAGGCGCGTGTGGCATTGCATCGGGAATGCGGAAGTGAGCGGCTTGCTGGAGGTGGCTGGGTAAACTGAAAAACCTTTTGGTGGAAAGGTATCTTTCCTTGAGTGCGTGCTGGAGGCGCTCTGGCGTTGGACGGAGCCGTAATTGGGTTGACCGGTGTGCAGCCGGTTGGAAGTAGGCGTCTGGAAGAGCGAACTTCTCCCGAAGTTGGCTGTGGCTGTGTGTGTTTGATGGGGTTGCTGAGCTCGCTGACTGGCAAGTCAGGCTAAAAATTGTGTAGTGTGAACTAGGCTTTAGAACACTAAACAGACCTCTCTACTGACTCTGAAAAACACAAAAGAAAGATGCCCAGGGTCCCCGCGGAAGGTAAGGAGGTGTGAGGTCTGCCAATGTTGCCAGGGCAATAAATTGCAATGTCTGAACTGTGAGATGCCTAAGAAAGCACTACAAGGAAACAGGAAGGACAGCGGATTGTCCTCGCAGTGGCAGACCACAGGGCCACACCGGATACTGATTGTTGCTTTTGAGCCCCCCACTTTGTTCAGGGACACATTTTTCCATTTCTATTACTCACATGTCTGTGAAACTTTGTTCCGTTTATGTTGTAGTTGTTGAATCTTTTCATGTTCAAACAAATATTTACATATTTTAATATTTCTGAAAAAAAACACAGTTGTAAGTGAGAGGATGTTTTTTGCTGAGGATATATTTCCCAAGACTGGTCGGGTTCTTTACCAGTAAAACACTGTGTGAGCGTCGTTAACTCTCATGGTAGTTCACATTCATGGTTATTAGCTGCAAACAGACACGTTCAGTTCACCAGAAACATCAGCACATTCACACAACACTGGTTGAAAGAACCACTCTAATGTAATTCAGAATTAATTTCTGTTGTTTTTGTGTTAAAGTTGTGTCATGTTTTGTTACCAAAAAAAAGTTTTAATGTAATTTAATGTAAGTATCTTTATGCTTTTATAACTAAGAGTGAAATTGTTTTAACATTTATTTGCTTGACAGTCAAAACAATGCTCATCCCTCTTTTAACCAGAAGAAAATTATTTACATATTAACTTGTGCAAAACAAAGACAGTCTTTGTATGGGAATTGTGATTGTTTAGTAAGCTTCTTCGAACCTTAAATCCTGAATGATGGGGAGCAGGCCTTAAATGTGTGCCATTCAGACTGCAAGAATCAGTACTTAATATTTTGCTTTAAGTTCCTGAAATTCTGTACAGGGACCAAAAATGTATGGACAGAACTTTTAACAAAATTAACAAAGTTGTAAAGTCATTTCCCTCAAAATATTTTTGTATTGTATATAGTAGTACAATTCATTAATTTAAATGAACATTTGATCTCATATTGATCCGTCTTATTTTTATATCTGATCTGAAAATGTTCACCTTCCCACAAGAAGACATAGCTTGTGTGGAACAGATTACGTCAAGACAGGATTTCAGTGCTGAAATTCTCTCATAAAATTAAAGATCCAACTGTAACTTTAGCTGTGAAAAGGGCAGAATGCATTATAGTTTATTTTCAATGCCTACAGGTCCATTGCAGGACTCAGAGGCCAGTGTCTTCTCTCTGGCTACACCTTCTGTTGACAGGGACTTCCAGATCTTCTGGCATGCTGTAAAAGATGACATGAAAGTCTTTAGCAGAAACAATACCACAGCATTTGGAGGGCTGGACTACAAGCTGAACATGTGTCACTCTGGGCTGGTGTAATTGCGGTTTGGACAACCTTCAATTAGGAAATGTGTAGGTTCTGGATCAAATTATGTTAGGACAGGTACAGTTTTACTACATTGTCAATTTTAATGTTTTATGCCAGAGTGCCAACAGAAGATGCACAAAAGACCTGTCACTAAACTTATAAAACAAAGCTATCAATATCAAAATCAAATCAGGATTTCTGTCATTTTATGTCCAATACCATTATTGGATATGATTAGATTATGTCAACATTTTGTCTTTTTCACCATTACGAATGAGCATCTTTCTAGGTCTTCCTAGGAAATCAGCAATTTCAATACAAAAACGATTACTAAATTGCACTGTGTGCTGCCTCTGAAAAGACACAACCTCAGTACACCAACGTGGTTTGCCAAGAAAACACCAAACAAGCGCAAGTACACTTGGCAATACACTACTGTTCAATGAAAATTTCTACTGCAATTATTACACAGGCTGAGTGTTACAGCAGGGAAACAGGACTGTGGACCCAAAATGCAGACACTGGCTAGGAGGTTGCAGTTCAAGTGAAGATTTATTCACTCTAAACAAAAAAGGAATTCTAACAGAACAGGCTTACTTCTTAATTCACAGTGAGAGTCCAAACAAAAGGGAAAATCCAACAGGCAGAAACAATCCACCACACAGGGAATAGTCCAAAAAACAGCACACAAAGCAGAACACTCAACAATAAACAATGACACCACAAGGACAAAACACAACTGAGGGCAATATATACACACACAAGCAGGCAGGGCAATTAACACAGGTGAGACACATAAGCAATCAGCAGACAGGAAGCAAAGCTTGAAAAAAACACATGAAACTGATCACTACAAAATAAAACAGGAAGTAAAGTGTGGGACCCACAGTAATGTTGGCCTTGTTAATGGACTCTGTTGGGCATGTTGATGGACACATAACAGTGGGCACCCCCCATTCTAATGTAGTATTTTAATTGTTTTGATTTTTCTTTAGTAATCTGATGTATATGCTATTGTACAATAACAACTGTAATATTTTAGTAGTTGAGTTTATGGGTATAATGTGTAAAGCTCACACAGGCACTTTGGGCAGTGTGTGGGGTCCTTCTGGTTAGACAGGAGGGCACACACGTCAGTCAGTAGACGTAAACAGCCTGCTGTACATAGAGACAACGTTCTGCTGATGTTCTTGTGTTTCTGTATTTACAGACTACGAAAGTAAAGGAGTTATTGTAAACTTATGCACGCCTGGAAGTCCCTTTTGTGTCCAAGTGTGCAACAAAAGTGTTGCATGTCTAATCTAGCTATGAATTTTAATATTCAGACAATATCAATCCATAAAAAGCTCTCGTTTCGCAAAAAGGGGCGCCACCAGAGTTGTTATTAACCTAGAGTCTCCGGACCTCTAGGTAGCTTTTAATATTTATACAATTATTCACCAGTGATCAGTTAGTTAATAATCGCTCAATTATCTTAAATCAGTCAGTCTCATATCTAAAGGGTAAATTCTCTTGGCAGGGACTCAGAAGTAGGCAATACACAATTCCTTGGTTACAGTGAATTTATTAACTAACTAAGGTGATATAAAAAGGAGGTTAAATACATCAGAGAAATAAACAATGGCTAAACAATGAGAATGGAGGTTTGATTGTGGGAAGCATTTGACTCATACGGCAACTAATGAATGCAATTAGATGATAAAGGGTTTAAAGATTACATATGCTGGACTAAAGATAAATTGATTAGCAACTATTGGACGTCACTGACCTCAAAATGTAGGGTTTTGGTCTTACAGCTTGCGTTTCTCCCCGCCGGGTTGCTGGTAAACAGCCTCACACTGGCAACTGTCGGCCAGTTGCTTTGTCTGCCAGGGAATTTCTGCGGGGGTCCATCTCTGGTAGGCTTATGGAAGAAACTTGCAGTGGGGGGCCTTCTCGACCGTGTCTCAGGTCAGGTTTAAGTCGTCTTTTGTTGCTGCTGGCGGGCCACGTGGAATCGTCCGACCTCCGTGGGCTTAGCGCGACGTATAAAGCTTAAAAAGAACTGGGTCGTTCTTGAATTAACTAGTGTAACTTAATGGACTGATAACTTTTAACAAATGAAAAGAAAGAAAATAAAAAACAAGTAAAGTTGCTGTTAAACGAGGGAAAAATTTATGTCACGGCACTTCGTGTGTGTAGCTTCAAGCGAAAAAAAGACTTCGTTGCGCTGGTCGAATTCTTAGGCGTTGCCGGGAGGGGCACGGCAGCCGCGTGCCGGAGCATCCAGAGAGCAGAGCGGAGAGCGGAAGAGAAGAGAGCGGACGACGTCGTGTGTCGCTCTTTTGTTGTCTGGGGCATGGTTCCCCAGAGGGCAGTCCTTCGTTCCCGAGGGACTGTCTTTCTAAACTTTTAATGTCTATAAAAGAAAAAGAAAATCTATTTGCGCATATTATAATCAAATATTTTCCACAATCAAACCTCACTGGTCAAACAGTTGTACCGTTCTAAGTTTAAGCATTTGGTAATAGGAAAACACAATTATTGGTCATGATAAATGAGTGACATTTATACATTAACGGCATTTCTGACGATGGTATGTAATACTTATTTCGTCCACTTTGGGGAACTCAGGTTACATGAGGAAAGCTTAGATTAATCCAAAAACAATCTTTCCTTAGGAACTGGGAAATTTAGTTATTTGGCCTTAAATTCAAGCTGGAAATTAATAGCGTGTAGTATGACATTTATCATCATTTCTGAAGGAATTGTGTGAGAAAGTATTGTGAACAAGCATTGGTTACACATAAAATGAAAGTGTCCTTAATCTTGCTGAAAATTAAAACACTGCAAAAGTAACTTATTTAGATTCTTTTCAGCAATAATATCAACAACAGATAGCAACAACATGGTAACATAACTACTCAAATAGAGGCAGCGCCACTACTACTAGAACAGTTTATAATGAAACATTGTTTTAGCTCAAGAAGGCAGGAATTGTGTCCCCTTTTCGCATATCCTGGCTTATCACGTTTGCACATCAATCTTTGTTTACAAAAGGGGGTTCAGGTCTGTGTCTCTGGTGTTCCTCAGCTAGGCGTGGACAAGAGTATCTTTTTGATGAGTGTGTGTGTGTGTGGGGGGGGGCAGTTTAGGGTTTCCCCTCAAATTTATTTAATATAAAATGCACAAATCCACTCTGTTGTCCATTACAAAAGCTAGCGACAATACACAAGGACATGAGAAACCAAATACAACAGAGAACAAGGAGGCAATGATCAACTAACCTAAACAAAAACACAGAGGCAAAGAGTAAAACAGGAATGGACATAATCAAAATAACAGAAAAATACCACACAAAAACCAAGAGCATGACAGCAATAGTTCTACGGCTGGCTTTGAGATGGCAAAAAAATGCCCTTAATATCTTAGGGTTATGGAACAAATAGGCACTCAGGTGTCATGTCATTTTTGTTGACCGTGAAGTGAGTGAAAAAAACATGGAAGCAAGGACTAACACATATCATAGCTGATATGATAGTATAGGTGTTAGTAACAAATGATCAACTTTTATTCTGTGTACAAATGAATAGCTGATGCACGTGTAAACAAGGATAAATGCATTCAAACACACGCACACAGAATAGAACACATAGAATAGGCTGATTTTTATTTCAGTGATTCAGATTTTCTGAACAAAAGCACAAAAATGGTCACCTGTAGGCCCATTTCACTGCTACTTTATGGAGTACCTCATAAGAGTGCTGAGAGCCTGCAGTTAGTCATGTTCATTTGCAATACAGGACCACGAGCATGACCGTTCAGTGTAAATTAAGTTGATTCAGCTGAAAGCACTGTGTATGGGATAAAGCCTTTTGACGTCTCAGGAATCTGAAGCCAAAAAAATGTAGAAGTAGAAAAGGGAAGAAAGCAGACAGAAATGGGGAAGCAGTGAGTGTTCAAAACTCACAGTCCCATTCACCGCTGCACACAAAATCCAAACACAGATTTCAAGGTAAGATCTGCACATGTAAAACTGCAAAGTTCAGGACATTAATGTGATTGTATTAAATGTATTTATTTTATTTTTTTTTACCTTTTCCACCTGTATTGGTTTTTGAGGCTGCCAAAAGCAAATAGAGTATTATTAGCAACTCAAAAGTATTGGATTTACCGGCTTAAAAAGACATGTTTTCCATGGTATCTTTTTGTCTTTGCATTAGATGAAGTTTCTGCTGCTGCTGTTGATGCTGACAGCATGTGCTGCAACTCCTCAAGGTAAAAAATATCCTTATTTAAGAAGGAATACCAAAAAGAAATGTAAAGTTGCAAGTATAGACAGTTTTTAGGAGTCTGTTTTTATTTATCTTTAAATTTACTTTTCCCTAAACACATGTCATGCAATATTTTAAGGTACAATAAAAAAATGAACAAACATGAGTTTTTGCAATATATTAATAACCAACATTTGCATAGGACAAAATATGTCACATATATTTACCTAAATTACCAATGTTGTTGGTAGGCATAAGATCTACAATATTTGTCATAATAATTTTATTTACTTTTTCATTTCCACATACATTTTGCTTATTTTCAGCTAACATGTTTCAATTATGAAATAACCAAAATTATTTTGTTTCCCTTATGGTTTCATAACTGCTTGTACAATTGTGTAATTCTGGACATTTGCTTAACTTGATAAAGACAAAACACTTCTGTTCATTTCACTTTCAATCAGGAACAAAAAAATTGCAGAGGGAAATTACCTACATATGAACTTGTGTAAAACCTTTAAGTAACAAAACAATAAGCAAATCAAAAAGCTAAGTGCAGTGCCAAAAAGGCTGTTATTAACTACAAATAGTGTCTCTCTTTGTATAAGATTTGTATAGATGTAGACATCTAGTATTTCCTTCCTCAAAGCTTTGAGGTTTTCTTATAAATCCTGAATGATAGAGTGGACACATGGAAGTCAGTGGTTAATATGGTACTGTATGTTTCCTGACATAAGGTGATCATGAGCTTGGTCATGTGTGTGTGTGTAAATGTGCGTGTGTGTATGTATATCTCTCCACAGCTTATCTTGCTAGGTTAGTTAACTTAAAGATTCATCTGATGGGCAAACATTATAATCACTCACTCACTTATTTATTGTCAACCACTTATCATGTCTACAGAGTAGCAGACATTATAATCTATACTAAAAGAAACAGCTATAAAACATTTTTCTTTTTCTCTCTCCACTCTCTTTTCAGATCTGTCAGGTAAAATGTTCACCTTCCCACTGCAATCCAACACAGCTCATGTGAGTTTGATCACATCAAGAGAGGAATTTAGCACTGCAACAGTCTGTCACAGGTAGAACTGAATGTGGAAAATGCATAAAAGAACCAACTGTATCTCTGACTGAAAAGTAGCATGCATGCTAATGCCTTTGTAATGCCTACAGGTCCTTTACAGACCTCAAAAGAGATCACATCCTTTTCTCTTTGGCCACACCCTCTAATGCCAATAGCTTCCTGATTTACTGGGATGAAACAAATAAGGAGCTAGAGACCCATGTCACGACTGGCAAGTCAGAATATCGAGGGTGGGACTACAAGCCGAACATGTGGCATTCTATTTGTACCACATGGAACTCTGTGTCCGGACTGGTGCAGCTGTGGTTTGATGGACAACCATCAATAAGGAAATATATCAGCTCTGGATCAAGCATCAAAGGGCCCACTATTATCACCTTAGGACAGGTACAGTTGATTTAATAAGCATCATAATTAATGACCTTTCAACTGCTAATGTTTGATTTATTGTGTGTGTGTCTAGTTTATAGATTTCAGTACAAATATTGTATAATTTAGCTTTTATTTACTGGATCCCAAACATCTGCAATCCCTACAGGAGCAGGATTCCCATGGTGGGGGGTTTGACCTGAGGCAGTCTTTTGTTGGCATGATGTCTGACGTCCACATGTGGGACTACATCCTTTCCCCCTGTGAAATCCACCACTACACAGATGAGCTAAACTTCACTCCAGGGAATGTGCTGAACTGGAGGGCGCTGGAGTTCCAGATCGTCGACAGAGTGCTTATAGATGATAAACTGATTACCTGCCATTAAACTTTAATACAGCACCATCTATATGTTACCAATGTCAGCATTTTATGTTAAATCTTTGTTTATTAAAGGATATATTCTGATATGTATACAATAATCACATGAAAGAGTTATTTTGGTCAGTCTGATCATTTAACCTGTCCTTACCATAAACAGATCTCTTGCTAACATGACTGTGCTGTAGAAGATGGCCATCTTTTTCACAAAGGTTGTTCTATGAAAGTGTCGCTGCACAAAGGTGTCAATCAGGGGCGTGCACAGACATTTTGGTGGGCAGGGGCTCAAGTTTAAAAAAGGCCACTTCTCATAATTATTTTTTTATATATAACATTAAATATGTTCACACAACTCTTACTTCCTTCCAATTTATTTTAATTCCCTCACACTCATGCAGTTGTTTAATACTCAACATGGTCTCTGTATGAACAGCAAAGGAAACTATACCACAATGTGTATGTTTTCTATGCTACTAGTTTCAAGTATATATTTAGAATAAATGACCACCAAGGAGAGGGACATAGTTTCACTATTAATTTGGTCATTGTTCACAAGGCAAGAAATCTCTTGGTGTTATTGGAATACATAACACTTCAAGAATCTTCACACTAAACTTTGGCATTGGGCTGCAGGCATAATTAATATAAATGTTATTTAAATACTTTTACTCTTTGTTTCACAAGCAATATGCCAAATGAGTAAAGATAACCTGCTTCACACAGCCAAGTAACAGAGTACTGAATTGCCTGAATACATTAAAGGGGCATTATTGAGTTTCCAGCTGCCACTAGCGGTGCGGTTTTAAGATTGCTACCAGGTGTGTGCTCGTACGCGTGCTCGTTTGAACTCATGAGCGAGCATAATCCAAAACACAACCACTTTAATACAGAAATCCCGCAATAAATCCAGGAACACCAGCGTGCAGGCTGTGGCTTTTCACTCAGACTTGTTCAGGCTCTGTTACTTCAACGTTCCCGTCTCAGAGGCAGATCAACACCGGCTCTGTAACGTTACTTCATTCAGCACAGCCAGCGGCATATTGGCACAATACTCCCGAAAAAAAGTGACAGCGGCTATAGACAGGCAGGGAGACAGCTTCACTCAATATACTGGAAACTCAGGTAAACCCCTACTGCAACATTACAGTAATAGTTTTATCAGCTGCAGGTTGAACTAATCCATGCTCATTACATCATCACAGTACATTTACTGCATTTAGCTGACGTGCTACATCGTTAGCTCGCCTGCTTCTTTCAGTAACTATCTTTACTATCTGTGTATCGTTCACCGGAGGCTTAGCAATGTCAGCACAGCTAAATGTATTGGATGATAACGAAACGGGTAGTGAGCTGGACTGAATATTATAACGAGATTGTGTCACACTTTATAATAATAAGACCGCAGTAAGTAACTTTACTGTAATGTTAGTGCATGGCTCTTCCTCTGTGTTGTTGTGACCGTTTTGTTGCAGTATTGTATATTATGTGGGTCACATTAGTTACAGCGAGGTGAGAGAAGAGAAGCTATGTACCTGAGTATTGGTAAAACCACAATAAACCTAAACTGAACATTACAAAGCAAACTGAGGCAAGTCCGAGCTACGGTAGCGTAGGCTGTCTGCTTCTGGCTTCATCACTATAGGCTAACTTTAGTAAACAAATCGCTCCACATTTGCTTTTTAAAGTTCTATCTCACACAGGCTCCGTCCTCTATTGGACTCTATGGGTACTACCTCTCCTCCTATCACACGCATGTACTCGCCCACTGAAATACTGTAAGTAGCCGACCAATTGGACGTCGCTACTGTACGTGCGTACCGTATAAATAGCAGTGTCCTCACTGCTCAGCATCCTTTTTTCTTCAGACAGACGGCGAACCGCCCACTGACCTTCACCTCCACAAATGGAGTCGCCGCTCCTTTAAGCTCGCCTTTGCCCATCGTGCCCCGGCTTCGGCAGGGACCACGCCAGAGATGGCATGCTGCCACTAGCCACGTCTCTCCCGTCATAGCGAGGCAGAGAAGATCGCTCGTTGCCTCTGCAAGCGGCTCGCTGCGCCATTTGGCCGCAGAGGGGACACTATCTCTCCCACAGTGGCCAACAGCTGTGGAGAGGAGAGCTCCCCAGCTTGTCACTGCTCCTCACGACAGTTCTGCCGATAGTGAACGCGTCACCGTAGACACTACGACAACACTGTCACAGGCAATGACGTCAACGGAGCGACCGGCCATGGTGCGTTCAGGACACCACAGTCTGCTAGTTTTTTTCGGGAGGGCCGCAATCGAAAGGGCCAAACCGGCCGTGGTGACCTTGAACGCACCACGGCCGGTTTGGCCCTTTTGATTGCGGCCCCCCTTGGGCCAACTCCCATTTATGGAGGGTTTGGTGGCAGTGAGGGCCGAGGAAGCTTTCCAGCGTTTCATCCACAACGCTCCTCAGCTAACAGGCGTGCCCTAACACATTATATGAAGCACATGGCCCCCATTCAACGCACTGATCAACTGCTTGTTTGCTTTGGCTCTATCCAAGAAGCGCCTAGCCGGATGGCTTTGTGACTGTATCTCACAGGCCTACGTGCAGGCGGGGAAAGATCCACCCTCGGTGGTCCGGGCTCACTCCACATGGGGTGTGGCTGTGTCTACGGCCCTCTTCAACGGGGTGAGCGTCGAGGAGATTTGCACAACGGCATCGTGGTGTTCAACATGTCCATTTGTGCGTTTCTACCTCTTGGATGTATTGGGCTCCTTCGCAGGATCTGTGCTCGCAGGTGCGACTCAGGATCTGTGAAGAAGGAGACTGGTGTCTACAATAGACTACCGGTTGTCGGGGAAAACATTTTTACACTGACTGTGATGTCAGGACAGTTCAGGTGTTGGATCTGGCTGGATCAGATCCCTCTTGGTCATGCCAAACCCCTAGCGGTCTAGTGACCTTTCTGAGGGGTGGCCCACTGCCCCATCGCTTAGGATGGAGGCATCTTAGGGCCTGTGGCTGGTGACCTGTGGCCAATTGTGTCGGTGAGGTGAGCTGTGGCTTGTCGCGGCTGGGCGGACAGTCATCGGGCTCCACCCACGTGTGATAGGAGGAGAGGTAGTACCCATAGAGTCCAGTAGAGGGCTCCGCCTGTGCTAATAGAACTAGGGTTACCATATCGTAACCTTCGTTACATCATTTCTTGCAGGCTTTGACACTTTGACATAATATCTGTGGTACACGGGATAGTAACATGGGTCGCGTTAGTTGGTGAAGTAATGTTGAAAGCGATATAACTTTGCACCAGATAACATTAGCAACTGCTCGGCGTTAGCCGCCAAGCTAACGTGACTTTCTCTGTGTATCTCCAGGTTTACTAATGCTCACTTTTTTTTTTACTGGACATCATTTGAACCTGTTTGGTCTGATGGGCTTCAGCACATAAAACTTTATTGTTGTTTTGTATCCTTACGTAGAGTCTGTGTTTTGCTGTGAGACGGTTGATTTATGGTGTTAGTGGACTGCGTGTCGTTAGCTGCCGTGTTGTCGCTGTAGTACAAGAGAGGCTCAGGAGTGCTCAGAGGGCTGAATCCAACCCGGAGTCCCCATATTAAAAGCAGAATAGTGGCTGATGCAAGCAAGAGAGAAAACAGGTGTGTGCTTCATTTCTAAGGGACTTTTAAGCCCACTGACAATAAGGCAATGAAAATTTGATTAATTACATTGAAAAACTTACATATAGTCCCTTTAATGTATTGATCAAATACATTATTATTGTTGCTATTACTATATTACACTTACCACACACGCACACACGCATACACACACACACACACACACACACACACACACACACACACACACACACACACACACACACACACTCAATTTCTGATGGTGACATAGACTTAGTTTCACATTTGAGGAAGGGCTGTCTGTATCAAGATCTATCAGCATACAACAAACTAAGTTATTAGATGAGGATACTGAATGTCTGCAATCTGTGTGCACATTCTCTTTTCATACTAAAAGTAAAAAGTAGTGATGTTTCTCCATGCCTGCTGGATGTATAATTAGGCAATTGTTATATGGATTAGCCATAACAACTTACATTGAAAATATCAGGGCTGTGGATCTGTCAGCTTGTTTTCAAGGTCATCTGCCCCCTACTGGTCAAACATTGAGAAATGCTTTAACTGAGTTTATTGTCAATGAAATAAACAATATCTTTATTCAGCATTACTTTGTAGTTACTCCTCTATATGTGAATAGGACAATACTTAGAATACTGACAGATGGCTAAAGTAACTCCATATTTTATCACTTCTTCCAGTTCTTTGATAATAAAACATACTGTGCACTTTTGATTGTTCATGTGAGTCATTCTGTGCTGACAGATGCTGCCAGTCTCTCAATCAGAAAAGCTTCTAGTCTCTCCCTTGGATCCACACCTCCTAATGAGAAGGACTACACCTGTCTCTTGGGCTGGTGATTAACATTTCATTTCCATTACATGTTTGTGGTACTTGTTTGTGGATACATAAATTGCCTTACATGTTGTCTCTGATGAAGCTACCAGCTCATGAAGCTCCAACAGTTCAAACTTGTTCCTTGCTGGAAGGAGGAAGCTCATGAGAAGACAGTGACCCACAGAGAGTCTGGGCCTTTCTGTAAATCGCCAAATCCTTAGCAAAAATCAAGTGGAACAACAAGCACTTACGTAATTCTTCCCTGGAGGACTTGTAACATTTGCCCAGACTATGGCACTGGTGATGCTGCAGGCTACTGGACAGACTTCCACAATAAATTATGAGTTGTAGATGCAACACTACTAACCATAAACATCTCTTTTGATATTCCTGTTCAATTAAGCATTATGTGCTGAGTGAGAATTCAGAGATGCCTCTTGTGTTAAGATAGCAGGTTCCTGATGTATTGCAGGGCAACATGAGTTTGCAATTAACTATTAGTTCATTGCTCATCAACGTGACTGTTGAATCTTTACATGAATTGTCAGTGGCTATTGGATATTGCACAAAAGTAATTTAGCCATCTAAATTAATTAAAACAGGCAAATGCCTATTTATATCATTGCACAGCAGTCACCTTAAAAAATAAAGTTGTATTTGTTAAAGAAATGCTTTTTTGGCAGGTGTTTAAATTTGATTTCATAGGCATTGATTAACGTTTGGACAACTTTGTTGATGTATATACTAGAATCACATATCTTACACTGCAAGAAAGAGTGTTTTTCACATTCTGTATGACTCTAAGACTCTAAGACACATTGTTAGATTGGTGTGACAATAGGCCTGTTTCAAGATTGTGATTTGCTAGCACTGTTTACATGTAGATCACTAATGGTGGCAACGTCACGTT